AAATAAGAACCTTTATCTTATTAGTAGAATGTGTAATAAAAACTATCAATTGTCCAATAATTCTCTAGGTTCCATGGATGTTTAAATACACATGTATGTTGCCGTGGCTTCATGCATTTCCCATAAGCAACTCAGTGAAGTACTGTAGCACAAGCTATGTTTTTAAAGCATAGATCTCGCCTTACTTATTTATTTTTTGACACAGGCATTTTGTGCATATGCTAGACACTGAATATGTTCAGTGGCATATTTTAAAAAAACTTTTGCGGAACAGCTGAACATTTTTAAGGCCTAGTGAATGCATAGATCTTCCACCTGTCCTTCTCTGGACTGAAGCTACCATGGCAGATATATTTTTTTCAAATATGGTAGCCATTCTACATTTTAACAGACACAGTAGTGCCATATTGTAAAGAAAATCTGATCGACACCAATGTACACAGTACTTATTTGATCTTTTTAAAGAAATCACATATAGAAAACTTTTCATTTGTAAATGAAGGAAAAGTATAGTAATCTTCATCACCATCATCATCATCAACAAGAGGGCAACTGGGCCATCTCAGAGTTGGGACAATTAACCTTTTCGGCCCAAGGACCACATTCAAGATTCAGCATGTGCACAACAGTGGTCACGGCCAAAGTGGTTGCGCCTATGCAGAGATGCATGAGGCCTTCTACCCACCCTTTGTAACTTCCTCCCATTATATATCAGACATGTGCCCTCTTTATTTTATTTCAGTGCCTACTAAAGATATTCCTCTTTCATCAAGCCTTCTATATGGAGATATTTATTCCAGTTGATAGTTGCACAGAGTTTGAATTGCTTTTATATATTCCTGTTGTTTTAATCATAATGTTTTATATATGCAACTGTTTCACAGGTTTTTATTATATTGTAAATTGTCTTATGGGAAGCAATTTTTAAACGAAATACCTAGTAATAGATAATAATAATAATGTGCACACCACATATCACACAGATGCATAGTGCGCGCACACAGGCACACTTCACTCACACATACACATACACTTCTCTCACACATACATGCAAGCAACCCTGCATATATAGGCATATATTACTCCATCCTAGCACTCTCGTCCTAGCACTGCAATGAGGCTATTTCTCTATCACAGCCCTGAACTAGGAGGAGAGGTTTAAAACTCTACAAAGCCCAGCACTGTGATGGAGTTTCAAATTGCATCAGTGCACATGGCTGAGATGAGAGTGCGCTGATGGGGTGATTTCTCCCCATCTGTTTACCTTCAAAGGCACCTCTTCTTCCTCTAACTCGGCACCATTATGAAGAAGATCTTACTGCTCTGGAAGAGGAAGAAGTACTCATTCCTGTTTCCCGAGCACCTACCAATGGCACTGTGCCAAAGGGAGAAGAGGTGCATTTGCAGATAAGAGAAGGCACACCCAATTCAGCAAGCAGGTGGAAGACTACTTGGCAGCAGTTTGGCAGGCTTCATCCAGCCCTCCCATGCATTTACTACCTCTAGCTCAGCACATCAGAGGGTACCTTTTTTGTTCTTATTTCACTTGTTATATATAAAGTTGGTCATTACCTGGGAAATCCTAAGGAAACAGCTAGCTGCAAACTATAACAATCTTGCAGAAATTGCACCGAGCAATGAAGTACACACATTAGAAGAACAGGCTCTTAGTGATAAAAGATACTCTTAACACATCTTGAAGATCTCACCAAGTCTACGGTAAAAACATGTCTTCCTTCATCAAAAACAACTAAGCTAATTACCAGCAAACTACGCAAAAATCTTCTAAGCATTCAAAGTGGGTATCGAACATTTAGGATGCAGTTTTCACCACATGATTTTAGTGTTTCATGGCACTGGCATTATAAGACAGATATTCAGAAACTGGAGCACTCTCTTTCAATGAGCTAAGTGACTCAACTCCATTCTGAACAGCTTACAGGTAAACCCACAGAAGAGGTCTTCAATGAGTCAATCCACAACTGGAAAAAACCCCTCTATATTATGGTACTCTTGTTTCTATTATGTTCACTTTCAATATCTAAGTTTTTACCTACAGAAGATCCTTCCTTATCCCTTCTCCTGCTTCCATAGCATCAGAACAGAAATCAGCCCTTCTCTTTCTTACTGATTGGTGCGCTGAAATATTTCATATCAGGGTCAGTAACCTTTTTCAGTCCAAAGCTACATTCTCTCATGCTGAATCTTCTTTATAAGTTGGGTGCATACCATTAGTGCTTGGGGCAACAGATGTTACTCTTATCTTTGCATAGTAGGCTACAGTCCAGCCAAGCAAAAGCCAGAGGTTTCCATACGTACAACTCTCCAGCCAAGCAAGAGGCATTGTTACAGTTCTACGACATTTTCCAGCATGTGCGGAGAAGGGTGTGGAGCAAAGTGAGGGAAGGATGTAGCCTGCATTTGGCCCCTTGAACCACTGCTCTCCCCCCTCCCCCCGGTGTATATGAAAGTATGGAAGTATCCAAGTCAGACCATTAATGAATCTAGCTCAGTACTATCCATAGATATTTTTCCAAGCCCTGCCATCACAGATCCTTTAACTGGTGAAGTCAGGGACCGAAACTGGCATAAGCATAGCATGAGCTATGATCTCACAATATCACCATGTGATAAAGGACATAATTAGCAAGACAGATAAGAGCAAGAATTGCCGTAGCCAGGATTTTTGTTGGGGGGGGGACAGGCTTTTGTTCGAGGGGTAGAAGCTCAGGTTTCTATTGATTTGTATTTATTTTGATTGATTTTGGCAGCAGCTGCTATGCCCATGACAGCAAGATAGTTTCGAATATAAGCAATGACTAAGATTAAGGGCAGAGCTACAGAAGACAGCCACAGTGTTCATGGGCTAGCAAGATATTCAACATACGGTATGCTTTAACTTGGGTTTACAAGTCAACAGAAGAACAGGAAAGTCAAATAACTGTGCACTACCCAAGATTACTGTGGATATGAGCCTGAAAACTCTCACCACATAAATGTGAAGCAGAAATGCCACGATTCTGCACCTCCAGTCCAATCCCAGTAAGTTTATTGTACTAGCCATTTGCCATGGCAAATCTAAATAAAAAATACAAGCAAAAGGGGTGTTGCGCCACAAATAATGGTCTTCATTTAGATCTCTGCGACTCCCTTACAGTTTATTGCTATATTGCCCAGGGTCTTCTTTCTGATCTTTTTGGCTGCCAAAGCAAAAAGAGCGAATTTATGAGTCACTGAAGTATCTACATTGCTAAGAAGCCATAGGACCTTCTCTGCCAGGTGAGAAATCACCTCTATTATGTACGTTATATCTGACACATCTCAGTATTCAAGCATATATCAAAGGTGGTGATAAAGAAGGTGATCAGCAAGAGTACAGTTGTACCTTGGTTTTCAAACAGCTTAGTTCTTGAACGTTTTGGCTCCCAAACGTTGCAATCCCGGAAGTGACTGTTCCAGTTTGTGAACTATTTTTGGAAGCTGAACGTCTGGCAGGGCTTCTGCGGCTTCTGATTGGCTTCCTGCAGCCAATCAGAAGCCGCGCTTTGGAAGTTGAACAGACTTCCGGAACGGATTCCGTTCGACTTCCAAGGTATGACTGTACTAGGAGGGGTGATGGTGCACTTACTCTGAAGTAATGGTCACAGTAGTAGTTCCATGTCCTGCCCCAACCAGTTGTCAGCCACTGAATACACACTGCCACTATTTTCCCACCTGAGAACACAGCCAACCCCAGAGGGAAGTGTACAAGATCCAAAGACATGCATACAAACATGTGCAACTTCAAACAGAGATTTAATCTGCTGCAATACACGTATTTAATAGCACGAGCCTTGGAAGAGTCAGTGAGTAATGCCTTCCACCCTCAACAGAGACACCTCCCTGTCAGAGGGAGAAACCAGCCGTGATTAACCCCGTCAAGTGCCAGGAGGCCTTCCGCACCAGGCTACTCTGCTAAGGCAACTGGAACCAGATGGGCAGGAGGAAGGCCGAAGCCCCTTCAGAAGCTGCCTGGGCCCCACATATTGGGGGAGGGGGAGACAAATGAGACTCCATTTCCTTCGCACTCCCCATTGCTCCCCTTCTGTAGTTCACCCCTCCTTTCCTTCGCCCCTTCCCCAGTAGCCCTGAACTTCCTCGCCCCCTATCTCGCCCTCGTCTCGCCCCCAACCCTCTGGCAGGGACCTAAAACCTAACAGCGCACCCCCAAATCCCCCCAGGGGAACAGGCGTGGGCCCTGTGCCCCCTCCTTCCCCTCCACACCCCGCCAAGCGGCAGAATCGCCCGACGCCCCTGTTGCTCCAGGCCCGGCTCAGCCAGTTGCCTGGGCCACTTTCCCCGGCCATGAATGAGCGAGGGAAGAAGAAGGGCCTAATCGCACCAGCAGCTACGGCCTGGAGAAGAGGGAAGTAAGGGAAGCGCCGCCGCCGCAGCGGTGGCGGCTGGCGAGCCGGCCCCAAGGGCCAGGAAGCGGGCAGCAGCCAGGTTCCCTGCTGCTGGGATGGGCTCGTGTCTATAGGCGTGTGCGTGAGGAAGGAAAGACCCCGGTCAGGTGCCGGTTGTCTGTTCCTCGGGCAGACTCCAGGAAGTGCGGCTCCCTCCGTCCCTCCCCATGCTCCTGCTGCTCCTGCTCCAGCCCGGGCAGGCAAGCGCTGCAGCGGCGGAAGAAACGCCCTCTCGCCGCCGCCGCCGCCGCCGCTCTCTTACCCTCTGCAAAATCCTCCTAAACATTGTGGCGGAGGTCACGTCCCCTCCAGGGCGGCGGCGGCGGCGGCGGCGGCGACAAGTCCGAGCTCACCACGGCGAGCTCCCGGGAGTCATGCCCTAATCACGGGGCCACTCCAAGCCCTGCTCGCTCGGCCCGGCCCAACTCGCTCCCGTCGCTCCCTGACAGAGGAGGAGGCGGAGGCGGCGCTGCCAGGACTGGGGCGGGAGCAGGAGGCGGCGCCGCGGCGGCGGCGGCAGAAGGAGGTGCCACCCTCTGGGACTGAGGTGGGCGGAGGCCGCGGGGCTCTTTCCTCCTCGGTGCGCCCCGTGGAGGAGCCGGGGTCTCGGGCGGGGAAGCGGGGCTGAGTTGCTCTTCGAAGGCTCTTCCGAGAGGGGCGAGTAGAATTGGCGGCGCTTTCCCTCAGGCACGGCGGGAACGGCCGCTTCCTCGTCGCCGCCGTCCTCCCCTAAAGCGACGCGCGGCGGAGAGGGGAAGTTTCTCATCCTCACGCCCCACTTCTGTTGACAGGGCTTAGGCGCCCAAGGATCGCCCGTGAGGAGGAGCGGGCCCCACGATCTGCTTCCAGGACCCAATCCAGCCACGGATAGGAATCAAAACGGAAGGAAAGCGTGCTCCTAGGCATGCATAGAGTGCTCTGCTCCAGGTATGGCTCCAGCCATGTCCACACATAGGAGTTGTGGTGGCATCTCCTGAGGCCTTGATATAGGAAAATTGAGCATATGTGAGTTGTCAGTCCAGGGCGTTCAGATATCTGAGGTAAGCCTGTAAATATCAGCCCCACACTTTCTTCTGGCCTCCTTAACTCCAGATCCCACGGCCCCACAGTCGTGCTCCACAATCCCCACAGTTTCTGCACAGAATAAATTCTTGGATTGCAATTCTTGGCGAGAACTAACCCCCTCCATTTAGTACCAGACTCGGTGAACAACGCAAGATGCCACAAGACTCTTTGTTGTTTTAATCACCAAAGCGGTCTTGAAAGCTTTACAAAGCAGTGGTTTTATGGGCCCCTACAATTAGCAAAGAACATAAGAAGAGCCCAGCTGGATCAGACAAAAGGCCTATCTAGTCAAAAGTCCTGTTTCCCAGAGTAGCAAAACAGATCCCTTTGGAAAGACCACAAACAGGACAGGAAGGTGTGAAGGAATGAAAGCGTTTCAACGATTGTTGATTTTGGGGGTTGTAAAATGATTGCTTTCTGCTTTAGTTAGAGGCTGTTTTTCACTGGAGGATCAAAAGATCCAGGGGAGTTCAAAAGTTTCAGAGGGCTGGGGCAACCCAGATGAGTGGGGTATAAATATTAGTATTAGCTACCCTTGAGATTCATCCAGAGGCTGTAGCTAGGCTGCTTGTGGGGGAAGACTACTATGTAGCTGGCAAAATTAGAAGGGCAGAAACATTTAAAAGGTGGCAAATGGTGATGGAAGGAAGGGCCAGCAGCTGCAAATCTCAGTGCTATTTGTTATCTGGAGTTCTGGACTATAGAGATGACTATCTTCTCTGTGAAGATGATGTGGGCCCAGTTAGCCTTCCTCCAAAGGGAACCATCCAAATATGTTGTTGTGGCTACAGCAGGGGCAATGGGCAGTGATTGCCAGCACTTATGGGAGTTGTAGTTTGAATTCTCTAGGGCAAGCTGCTTGGAAAACCTGGGGAAATCTTCTTATTATAACAGCAAACCTCTTAACTGTCAAGTCACAGAATTGTAGTGAACAGGAAATGGATTTCCTAATTTCTCTTGCAGCACTTTCTTTGCTCTTCCTTCCAGAGAAAGTCTATCACTTTTGAGTCTTGTGACAGTTGCATGGCTGTTTACTCAAAAGGAAACCCTATTGTGTCCATGGCAATGGTTCCTCCCACTAAGACCAAATGATGTGAATGGGAGCTGCACATTCCAATGTACAACATAGAAAGGCAGCATCTGCATCCAGTTAATGTATGATTTCTGATCCAATGTGTTGTACACACTTGCATCTTTTTATCTGGATCAAGGCCAGTATAACATAGGATTAAGTAAAGTTGAAAAATAAGGGGAAAGGGAAAAACACATCATTTCAACCAGTTCTTTAGTTTTCTTGAGTTTTATTCAAGCAGAGCCACCAAGTTGTATTATAAGGAAGAAGCCACTTTTCCCTAAAAGTTTATATTTTGAATTTCCTCCAAACAAAGCCATGAAGAACAAACTTTGGTTCACCACCAAACAAACCATGGAAACAAAGCATGGTCCCAGGATTGTACATAGCAACAGGCCAGAGTTTGGTTTATGTCCAGGCCAGTGTAGTGTAGTGGTTAAGAGCGGTGGACTTGTAATCTGGTGAACCTGGTTCGCCTCCCTGCTCCTCCACATGCAGCTGCTGGGTGACCTTGGGCCAGTCACACTTCTTTGAAGTCTCTCAGCCTCACTCACCTCACAGAGTGTTCATTGTGGGGGAGGAAGGGAAAGGAGATTGTTAGCTGCTTTGAGACTCCTTAAGGGGAGTGAAAGGCAAGATATCAAGTCCAAATTCCTCCTCTTCTTCTTCTTCCCCATGCAGCACATTTATTTTAAACCATGATTTAACATTGCTTATGGACACAGATAATGTGAAATGTCTATTTGAAGACTGCTTGTAGATTGTTTTAAAAGTTTCATATGAAAACAGAGGAAAAACATAAATGAGGCATTAATTAGTTGTTTTGGTTCTTATTAAGTAGTTGGTATTAAAATTTACAAAAGCAATAATTAGACACCATGCAGTTTAATTAAGGTCAAAATCTTGGAATATTTTAGTAGATGACTCAGAGGAATTATATCCTGCCATTGTTCACACAGAAAAAAATAACGTTTTAGGACCCAGTGCTTCACAATTAACTCACCTCATACTACATTGAATTAAGTATTCTCTTAGAACAGAAGAACTAATTTAAATCTTCTCTAAAACTGAAAAATATTTATTATTATTATTATTATTATTATTATTATGAAGTAAGAACTGTCTGCAAACATCAGACCTGAACCTCATTTCCATGAACATTATGCATGGGCCCACCTTTCCGTGGGTGTCTACTCTCAGTGTGTGAGGTACTGACATAAGAGACTCCCGCACCTTCAAGGAAGGTGCTATATTTTAGGAATGTTGCAGATATGCCATCTAGAAAGAGCAAAACTGGGAACTGTAGCTCAGTGATGGGTCACCTAACAACTTTCAGCTCTCTTAACAAGCTACAGTTCCATGATACTTTGCGGGAAAGCTGTGAGCATAAGTGTATTAAATGTATAGTGTGGATGTGATGTCAGTCTTCAGAAAGAAAAGAAAAACTGTCAAATAACTGGATCTGACTGGCATCACCTTGAGAATTCTTAAAGAACTCAAATGTGAAATTGCTGACATTCTAACAAAAATATGTAATTTGTCCCTAAGATTAGCCTTCATATCTGAGGACTGGAAACATCAGCAATCCAAGGGGGAATCCTGAAAATTGCAGGCAAGTTAGCCTTACGTCTTATTCTTGGTGGAAAAAAGATAGAATTTCCAAGCATATAAAAGAGCAAGTCTTGAAGAAGAAAAACCCACCTAATGGCTGCGCCAGCCTGGACCAACATGACTTCTGCAAGGGTAAATCCTGTCTCATTCACTGTTTAGAGTTTTTTTAGTGTCAACAAGCATATAGATAGAGGTGATCCAGTTGACACAGTGTACTTAGATTTTCAAAAAACTTTCAACAAAGTACCTCACCAAAGATTTCTGAGTAACTTTAGAAGTAATGGAATAAGAGGAGAAGTCCTCTTGCTGTTCAATAACTGGTTGAGGAACAGGAAGCAGAGTATAGGAATAAATGGACAAGTCTCCTAATGTGGGATGTAGAAAGTATTTGGAGTTCAGTATTTCGACCTGTGCTTTTTAGCTTGTTTACAAATGATCTAGAGTTAGGGGTGAGCAGTGAGGTAGTTTGCTGAGCATAACCAATCGTTCAAGATGGTTAAAACTAAAAGGGATTGCAAAGGTCCAAAAGGATCTCTCCAACCTGAGTGAATAGGCAGTAAAATGGCAGGTGTAATGCAATGTAAACAAGTATAAAGTCAGCACAAAACATCTTAATTTCATATATATGCTTATGGGGTCTGAACTGGCAGTGACTGACCTGGAGCAAGACCTTGGGGTCATAGTAGATAGCTCAGTGAACATGTCAACCCAGTATGTGGCATCTGTGAAATAAAGCAAACTCCATGCTAGGGATCAGTAGGAAAGGAATTGAAAACGAAACTGCAGTAAGAACTGCTATTATACAGATCTATGGTGTGACCACAGTTGGAATAATTTGTACCATTCTGGTCGACCCACCTCAAAAAGGATACAGTGGTATCTCAGGTTACAGACGCTTCAGGTTACAGACGCTTCAGGTTACAGACTCTGCTAACCCAGAAATAGTACCTTGGGTTAAGAACTTTGTTTCAGGATGAAAATGGAAATCATGAGGCAGCGACAGGAGGCCCCATTAGCTAAAGTGGTACCTCAGGTTAAGAACAGTTTCAGGTTAAGAACAGACCTCCAGAACGAATTAAGTTCTGAACCCGAGGTACCACTGTATTGTAGAATTAGGAAAGATTCAGAAAACAGCAACCCAAAGGATCAAGGTGAAGGAGCAACTCTACTGTTAGGAAAGGTTACAACATTTGGAACTTTTTAGTTTAGAGAAAAGGCAGGTAAGAGGAGACATGATAGAAGTGTGTAACATTATGTATGGTGTGAAGAAAGTGGACAAAGAAAAGGTTTTGTCGTCGTCGTCCCCCCAGAACACCAGAAGTCATGGACATTCAATGAAATGGAATATTGGAAGCTTCAGGCAGACAAAAGAAAGTATTTCTTCACACAGCATATAGTTAACCTGTGGAATTCACTCCAGCAAGAGGTTGTGATGGCCAACTTGGAAGACTTTAAAATTGAATGAGACATATTTTTAGAGCATAAGGCTATCTATCAGTGGCTATTTGCCCCCATAGCTGAAGCAGTCTGCCTCTGAATGGCTGTTGCTGGGTGTCAGCAAGTGGGGAGAGCACTGTTGTGTTCAGGTTCTGCTTGTGGGTTTCCATTGGGCATCTGGTTGGCCACTGTGAGAACTAGAAGCCAGACTGGAAGGGTCTTTGGCCTGATCCAGGAGGTCTATTCCGATGTTCTTTTTTTCTTTCTTTCTAAGTATTAGTAATAGATTCTGCCCCCAACTTTTTGCTCCAGTGTCATATCATAATCCCTTGGACATGCTGTGCTCAAGGTTTGGCAGCAGTGCCTGTGATTGACACACATGGCAGGTTTCTGGCTGCATTGTGAAGACATCCAGTACTGTATATAATTATAGATACATTGCCCTTGTCCACAAACCACTCCATCCTCTGACACCTGCATCAGCCAAGTCCCCATGTGCTTTGAAAAAAATCTACTTTGGAGGTGCATTTGTCTCCCCCACTAAATCATCTATTCCATGATCTCATCTTTCCCTGTGTTTCTGTTATTTAATGTGTGTTAATCCCTGTCACTTCTATCCTTCACCTCTTCCCTATTTTTTTTTCTATTGGGAGGTTTTCTGAAAACAGTTCCCCCACCTGTCCATCTCCATTTCTCCTTGCAGTGGAACTCAGGTTCTATGCCTCATCCTATCTGCAGTTAGGAGTCTCTCAGTTTTATGACTGTGATTAAGACAAATGAATTCATAGCCTTTACATGTTTGCTTAGCACCACATTGTAATATCGGGGTTCCCAAACTGTTGTCTGCATGGTGTTCCATGGCACATCAATCGTGTTAAATATTCACATTTGTTTTTAATGGTATTTTAATTGCTTCTTTTATTTCTTATAATATTATTTTTGTATTCTATGCAATTCCAATTCTAATACAATACAATATATAAGAAATGGGGGTTGGACTAGATGATCCCCCAGGGTCCCTTCCAACTGTACAATACTGTGATTCTATATATACCTAAGATTAGAGCCCTAGACATTTTAAAAAAGTAAAATAAATGAAATAGCAGTTGTTTGACGTGCAGTTTCAGATAGCTTCCACAGGAAGGGGTTTTTAAAATTTTGAATACTGTACAGGCATACCTTGTTTTATTGTGGTTCGCTTTATTGTGCTTTGCGGATATTGCTCCTTATGAGGATGCGAGGTTCAGGCAGTCTGGCTGCTTCCAGGAGAAGGAAGCTCCCACCCTGCCACCCCTTTTCTGGCCATGGGAGTGGAGCTGACTAAGTTTGGGGCTGAGTTTCCCCCCTCCCACCCCTGCAGCCAGTGGGGCTTAGCTTAGTAGACTACAGTGTAGTGTAAGCATAACTTGTATATTTATGTTTTTGGAGGGGAAGTGTCAGAAGGGGCTAGGAGAGCACAGGGGGGAACCATCAGAAATCCTGGAAGAGCGTTCAGAGGCACAGGTTCAGCGGCCTTAGGAGAGGCTACGAAGGTGGTTGGAGAGTCTTCCACAGCCTTGGGAAAGAGTGCGGCCTTCAGTATGTCACAGAACTCCTATTGTAGCATTAAGTTTATGCAGATGGAGAGCACACACTGTTCAAAGAAAATATTAATGCAATATTTTTGAAATGGTAGGCCTGTGCTGTGCTTTTCTTTTTAAAAGATACATAAGTAATTATCTCATGCAGTAGTAGTAGTAGTAGTAGTAGTAATAATAATAATTTGTCCTCAGTGTACATTCTGCCTTGCAGAATAACACTGGCAACATATCTGAAATCTGAACTACACAGTGGAAGGAGGGAGGGACTATGGGGCACACCTTTTATACAGGGAGAAGTTACTTGCCTTGGTAACACTCTGAGTATGGAGAGGAAAGTCAATAGAATAATTGAAGATGAAGCCAAGGCTACATGCCTGATCAACAGGGGATGTTGTTGGTGGATAGGAAGAGGAATCAAGGAGGGGAAAGCTTTTGAGGAGAGAGAAGTGGATCAGTTTTGGACAGGTTGAGTTTGAGACGGTAATGGGACATCCAAATGAGGGGAAAAGTGGGTATATGTATTTTTAAAACTTAAAACCATGCCAAAACTGTTTAAATAAATGTATCACAGATTATGATAGTCACACCAAAATATGAGTGGTCAAATCTCTGGGTGTTAGTTTCAGCTATCCCATGTGCTGCAAAAATATTCAAAACAGGTTTCACAGAGGCCTTAGCAAAACACAGGAAGGAAAGATGCACAGAAATGGCAATGATGGCTGCGCAATATTCCCTTGAAGTCCTCATTTGTACAGTCATAAACAAATGAAACCTGACCAGGTATCTGCTGTCAGTAGTTGATGTTGAAATGATTGGCTGCCTTAAACTGGAGCTGCAGGAGGGCAGATGATCTCTCCTCAGCCACAAGAGGGTGCACACAGTCCCAAAGTAGTTTCCTTGGCTAGAGTTGTTGAGCTTTTTTAAGAAAACCCCAAAATTGTTGAACTTTTTTTTTTTTTTACAAAAACGCCCAAAAAGAGCAGCCTGTATTCCTAGCCAGAAGAGGGTGTATGTTTCTATAAAGCACAGTCTGAAATTAAGTTTGTCATCTCTGCTCCCAGACAGTTTACTTGGTATAAGCCGTATGGCAGTGTGTCCGTTCAGGAAGGTCATCCACACTGAGTCACATGATGGAGCCATTTTGCTGACACTACACAGGCCTGATCTGTGCCTAGATGAGGGTTCACCCACAGACCCCATGTACATCACTCTGAGTTGAAGAACGTTGGGACACAGACGTACTAAAATTAATAAATAAATAACCTACTCGAAATCAAAACCATAGGGCAATACACACTCTAGCTGCCTTTCGGATGCAATGGGGCATGTGAATGGAATCTTTAAAATTATAAACTAAAGTGGAGTTACAGTCCAATGCCCTTAAAATATGTACATCTCTTCTATGTGATTTCAAACCCCAGAGACACTATAGCGACGTCCTAGTTTGAACTAAACTGATCCAAGCACAAAAAGGAAGGGGAAAATAGATTTCAAAAATAAAAGCAGTTATTGAAAACAGTATGTTCAGCTTGAGTTCTCTCAGTAAATAAGAACAGAGATCACAATTATAAATTTACAGTTCTGAACTCAAAAGGGGGTGGGGAAATGATTCCACTAATATATTTTCAAACTAACTCTGGCCTATTTGTAAAGGGGTATAACCCACCCAGCTCAGAACAATGTCCAATGGATGTTTAAGTCACATGTTTTCATGGCAAAATAATATCCTTCTAATCTGCAAGCAGAGTTAAGTAAGGTTCAGGTTGGTGGGATCCTGAGTGCTGCCTGAGAAACACAAGAGACCCAGTAGGAGCTGGGAGCAAATTCAGCAAGATATTGTCTGCATCGGCAGATCCTTCACCTATTTACTGCAACTTCCATTTTGAATTTAAGGTGTGAGATGTCAAGAAAAGAGCTAAGAATAAATTGTAAAGAAAGAATAGGAAAATATGATGAATTATAGTGAGTCATGCAATAAAGCCCTGACAGAAATACAAACTAACCTATTTGGAAATATTGTTGAAAATTTGGAATAAATAAAACCATGAGAAATGTATGCTTTCTGCTGCAGCCTGGGGAGATGACAGACAATTGGGCAACATACATTGTTGAGGAGACAGCAGACTGTAGCGAAGCTGTCTAGACAAGTAAATTACAGAAATTTATGTAGTCTCAAGAAGTAAAAAATCATTAAATTGGGTTGGGGGGCTGAATTCCTGCATATTACCCTGAAAATGTACTAATCCTAATTGCTAATGGGTGTGAAAATTCTCCAGATACAAATAATGCATTGAAAGTGTGTCATAATAGTTATTATGCCCAGGAATATTTAATTATTTCATTAATTTTCCCCTCAAAGCACTTCGCTTAGAAATTAGCTGAAGTGCAGTGCAAGGCTTGGCAAATGGATAATGCTGAACTCCTGTCTCTACCATAAATATGCTTCAGGGACGTGGGTGGGGCTGTGGTCTAAAGCACTGAGCTTCTGGGACTTGCCAATTGGAAGGTCAGCGGTTCAAATCTGTGCAACAAGGTGAGCTCCCATTGCTCTGTCCCAGCTTCTGCCAACCTAGCAATTCAAAAGCACACTAGTGCAAGTAGATAAATAGGTACTGCTATCACAGGAAGGTAAACAGTATTTCCATGCGCTCTGGCACTCGTCACAGTATTCCGTTGCGCCAGAAGCAGTTTAGTCATGCTGGCCACATGACCCGGAAAGCTATCTGTGGACAAACGCCAGCTCCCTCAACTTGAAGTGAGATGAGCACCACACCCCATAGTCGCCTTTGACTGGACTTAACCATCCAGGGGTCCTTTACCTTTCACCTTTAAATATGCTTCATGCCCATTAAGTTCCATGTGATAAAATATAATCAAGAGGATCACATTTGCCCCTCAACTTTTCCTTTCCCTTTTCAAAGTGATGCACACTTACTGTATCTGCCTTTTCCTTCATTTTAATAATCTTAAAAGGTTATGTGTGACTCACCAGTTTATGGTAATTAGAGGCATCTTTCTTTTATCAATAGATTATGAGCACATTGTACGCACTAATTAAGAAATTATGTGATGATAAAACATGAAAATTGAGCAGGTCCCAGGTCACAATGCTGTGTGAAAAGATGTGTTAGACAATAAGCTCAGCTGCTGAAGACAACATTCTGCTATTTGCCTTCATCTGATAGGACCAAGCAGAGGCACCATGATGTTGCTAGAGATATTTGCCATGGCAAACAGTATACATTTTCCTCTATGTCTGATTCTCAGAGGGCTATTACTCATTCTGTATATGCAAAGCCAGGTTTTCAATAATCTTTTCCTGCAGTAATATTTACAGCCTTTTCAGTGTAGCTGCACTTTCACTGTCAGGCTCAGTGTGGTGCAAATGCACAACAGGTGAAAAGACCTAGGAGAGTTTGACACCTAAAGCTGTAAACAGAATTATATAGCGAGCCCCATGACAATCTCCATCTAGCCCCCAGAATTTTCTAAACCTTTTGCCCTATCACATGCTGTTTGTTGTGCCAGAAATACATAGCATCAGCAATCAGGAAAGATCACATCAGTGCAACAAACCCAGATCACCCGACAAAGGCATAGAGAGAAGCTAAATGCCAGCATCAGGCAAGAAGGTACAGTTTACCAGGGAGTGCTAATATACATGCAGTACATGATTTTATTTGTATGCCAGCTTTCCATAGTTAAAACCAGTTTGCAACATGAAAAAATACATACTGTAATTGCAAACATAACAAAAAATAAGGAACATAAATAAGGAACATAAATAAAACATCAAAAGGTAAAAACCAAATTAAACAATGTCCATGTAAACCATAAGATCTAAAATAAAGATACAAAAAAATAATAATCAAAAACAGCAACAACAGCCCCTCTATGCTGCGACCGCTGCCCAAACAAAAGCCCCTAAACAATACTTCAACCCACGAGTTTGTTCAGCAGCCTCAGCTTTTGTAGCTGGAATCAATTGAGGCCCCACCCTCCTAGGTCAGGTGGAAAAAGGCCTGCTAAGCAGGAAGCAGGTATGTTTTAGTGTTGCAGCTCCAGCCCTCTGGACTCAGAAGCAAGCTGAAATTAGACAGGCTGTTAGTATCTTGATGTTAAGGTGGCTACTGGAGATGTTTTGTGTTTGACTTGTCTGTGGTGGCTCAGTTCCACATTACCTTTGTGGCACAGGAGCAGTTACAGTGTCACTTTATCCCAGCCAACAGTGGTAAAACCAGAAGTTCCAGACCATGTATTAAGGAGCCCAGGGCCACACATCCCGTAGTCTGTACAGTTTATTTACGGACAAATTAAATAGCACCAGTCTCAATGCTGTTTTTAGACCTACCCAGCATTGTGGAAAATGTTTCCAGGACTCAGCTGTACAGCTGCAAATAAAATGTTTTAAATGTGTTGTAAAGTGCATTGTACAAATGTGACACTAGATGGCGGCAGTGAGCTATGGCAAATGCAATATTTTTTTTCCAAAACTTCTTTTAAAGCATTTTCACAACATTTTTTATATGTGTCTAGATTCCACCCCAGATTCCTGTTTTTATACCAGTTACCAGTTCTTAAGAGGATGAGTCCTCTTATCCCATGGCTGCCAAATTTTATAAGAAGCCTTTGGTGAGGGGTGTTTTTGAATGTCATAGCAAGGGGCACTGCTAGTGGTGGAGCCCAAAACATCTGCCTATTTCTTCATTTTTAAACCTTCCCTCCACCTTACAGGGTGGCTGGGGGCAAAGCACAATGCCAGTGAGACCCCAGACAGCCACCATCTTCTGTGCCCCAAGACTTTTAAGTACCCAGCAACACCTCCATGCACAAATATATAATTCTAGAGAATCACCTCTGTTGCTGTGTTGTTTTGTGTTCCAGGCAAAAGGAGTGTGCCTCTACACAGGGAACCTTTTCATACCTAAAGAGTAAACAAAATGCAAACGGCATTCCAAATGCCTATATCTTAAAGTGGGTTGCTGCTTATCTCTGTGTCAGTCAAACATGCATAGTGTAAAAGTTTCATAAGGCAGCCAGCAGCAAGGTGAAAGATGAAGAGATTCCTGAATAATAGAGAAGGGCATCTTCCAGACAGCTTAGGTTCATTTGAGAACAAACACAAAATATATTATACAATCTTTTCATTCCGCCAGGAGAGCTCCAGTCTCCCTCAGAGCTTTCTGCCACTGAAAAAGCCATACAAACGAATGATACCTCAGTCAGCAGAGGGCTTTGAGGAGCCAAGATGCAAAGTTAAGACAGTATTATTGAGGGAGACAAATGGGTGGCGTAGTGGTTAAGACTAGAACATGGGAGACCAGGGTTCAAAACTCCACTCGGCTATGAAGCTCACTGGGCTGTTGGGATAAAATGGGCAGAGAACCATGTGCACCACCTTGAGTTCCTTGGAGAAGAGGTAGGAAATAACTGTGATAAATACTAAATAATAAAATATCCAGGAATTAGGAAAGAGTCAAGCATACAGCCAAACTCTTCCCCCCCCCCACACACACACAGCAAAACTCAACAACACTAATGTATTGCTTTGTGATCCAAGACAGTAAGGTCATGGAGCCAGTTGATCCCATAAATGGGTGGACTGTCTGAAAGGAGGAACCCTCTCTTCTTTTTTCCTGGATTGCTTCCTGTAGCCGTATAATTTGTGGTCATAATTTTGGCAAAAATGCTAGCATATTTCAGCTAAGGATGTTGTCATAGTGAACACTACAATTTCCTGAAGAGATTACAAAGTCTTGCCAAGAATTGTGCAACCCTCTCTTTTATGATGTTAAGCAATATGAAGGCAGGCATCGTCAAGTCCTTCGTGCAGCCTCTGCCCTATGGCACACTTTAGGGGGAAGCAATTGAATGCAGATTATTCAAAAGGTATCTCCTTAATCTGGCATGATTTATTGAACAGAACTGAGGGTAAACTGTGCTGCCTAAGGAGACTT